GCTTTCGACCCGCTAGGTTGGCGGGAGCTGGGACAAGCGACGGGTGCTCACTCCGTCGCGTGGACTCGATCTTATGACTCCTTGGTCTTCTGACCCTGCAGCACAGGCTTCTGTGGTTTAGCCCGCAGCGCCACCACGTCCCTATACTCTTGGTAAAGAGTTAAGTGGTTCACTGCCAATTCAGTACCATTGTTGTCTTGGTCCTTGGTTTCTCTGTGGATATTTCAGCACCCCTAAGCTAGGTTTAAATTTCCCTTTCAGTTTTTTGATCTTATGGAAAAAAATCTCTGATTCTTTCTCTTTTGTTCTTTTCTATTTCTTTGTATTGATTATTCCGGATTCTGACCATATTTCAGAAGATCAGTCAATGCATGTGACTGTGTAGATATGAAAAGAAACGAATGTGCCTCAACACTTGATTGTCCTGATGCATAACCTATACTGTGATAAGATGCTAGTGTTAGGGCAGACTTTGGAAAGACAGAACATTTTCCTATCGGCAAAGGTGTCAGACAAAAGTGTATTTTATTTTCCTATTTGTTCCATCCGTATGCAGAACATATCATATGGAAAGCTGGATTAGATTCGGATGAAGGCAGAGTAAAAAACTAGTAGAAGAAACATCAGTAATTCAAGACATGCAGATGACATATTAGTCGCAGAAAGCAGAAGTAACTTAAAAGGACTCTTGATTATGGTAAAAAGGGACAAGCAAAAGCAGGACGGCAACTGAACATTAAGAAGACAGAACAAAACAAACACAGAAGAATTAATGTGGCTTTAATGCTGACAGTGAAGAAAATAAAATTGTTTAAAATTTTGTATGCCTTGCTTCAGACAATGTTGACAATGAAGAAATTCAAATATTTTCTTTGTAATAATTTTTGTCTTCTTCCAAGATAATTGTTATATTAATCCACATGCACCAGGGCATCATATTTTCACTCCGTGGAGCCTCATGGCAGAATGCATACAAAATTATATCTACAATGTAGGCATTCTACAACATTGCCACCTGAAGATCTGAAACGTATCCCTGAGTATCATTGATGGAGCATGTACAGGCTTTTTTCAGAACAAAAATAGCTAGGTCAAACCTAATAAATATACTGTATTTTGTCATGGGCTGCTTTTTTTTAGTTAGTTTTGGATAATGAAATGTTTTGGAATAAATTTTAACAGTGAGACATGATGCAAATACGAAAACTAAAATTGTTATACTCTGGTTATCGATGAGTGGGTTCCATTTAGGTCAATTGGTAAATTCAATGACTCTACCAAGATCATGCAAGCAGATCTGGATCCCCCCCCTGCATTTGATGCAGGATAACGTCTTAGATATTAAGGGAACTAGTTTCAGGTCATGGCTGTGTAAAATATTCAATGACTGTCAAAATGTTTAATTTGATGATCTGATTTTACTTAAAATGATCAGCAATAATTCATCCTAGCTCCATTAAATAAATTTGGCTAATTATCCCCTTTAGCTATAAATACTCAAGGGCTATTTGAGTAAGTTACCACTTTGACTGGGTAATTAATTCCTTCTGTGTTAATGGTGCTATCATTAGCTAACTAAGTTTAATTTCCAGAAATAATTAATTAACAGTAGGAATAAAATGAAAAAGAACCAAGCAGTTCTGGGAGGAGAAAATTCAGTACATTGGGGGAAAAATGAGATTCTACATCAATAATAATATGAGATCAAGGACTAACAGTCGATGACCACTGAAAAAATCCAGATTAATTTCTCTATCATTTCAGTGCTCACTAAAATTAGCATCGTTTCCCAAGTCTAGAATTCCTTTAATGTTATCCAAAAGAAACTTCTGCCATGACAGATT